AATTTGATCAGCCATGCAGGGACACTCAGTGGCCATGAACAGCAGAGATCTCCTGGAGGGAGGCTTGGTCATGGAAGAGATAAAGGAAACACCCCCACCTGGCTTTAACAGGTGGCCCAATTAACAGAAGATAACTGCCTCACCTGTAACAGACGGCAATAGAATACACACCCCAGACACATCTTGCATTGGCAACCTAAGACATTGTCATCCTCGGCTCCTGTGTCCTTACCCTGAACTCCTTTATTTCTATCATCTCCACTGTACATCATCCCCTGTGCTCAAGGCCAGTGAAGATCCTCCTCCACTTGTTCTTCCCATCTCATTATAGTAATTATTTGGTACTGCTCCACCATCTTCCTCCATGTCAAGCCATCCATCAAAGCTTCATTGGAACTGACCAAAACAGTCACCATCTTAAACACAACTGTAACACCACTGCTAAACCCTTTCATCTACATGTTCAGAAATGCAAAGGTGAAGAACATCTTGACTAAAGCTTCACCCAGGTAGACAAACAACTGTGTCCAAAGATCTTGTCCAGGACTGTCTTCCCCAGTCTAGCAGAAAAGAAAAGCTTCAGAGACATCTCAGATTCCAAAGAAAGACTTCTGTTAGAAAGAGATGGAACTGTTCTCAGCTCTTAGCTAAGGTAATTAGCATTAATATAAATATTCATGACACAATCTTCACAAACTTCACTTGCATCAACAGAAAGAATTTCACACATCAAAGTGAAAATAACCACTACAACTGTCTAGAGGCAGAAAATTTACACAGTTCCCACCCCTGGGAACCTCTGCCACAGTCATAACACAGCAACTGGCCATGTCCAGCACTCTGGTGTTCAGGACATGCCTTTGTTACACTTCCAGAACATAATAAATGTGTGCCAGCAGCACACCCTCAAGGGTATATTTGAAAATAAACAAAGCTGTCTTTCCAGAAGCCATTTGTGCTACCAGATTGGCAGTGAGCTGTAATGACCATGACACACACCCAGCCCAGCAGGGAATCTGATTAATTTATTCAAAGAAATGAGCTGGTTTTAGACACGATTTCAAGGCACAGTGTTTCCTTACATGGTAATTCTCACTATGTGACCTATCCCATGTTGCCACGTTAGCAATACACTTTCTAAATGTCCTTCCATGGGGTGATCATGTGCTGTTCACCTGTCGGCTTCTGGCAGGCTCCTCTCTGCAGGACTCTGCCATGTGGCACCTCCTCCTCCTAAGGTGAGGCAGAGAAAAGCCTCTATGTGCTGCCACGTGCTTCTTTGTGCTGCCATGTGCTTCTGCAGGCATGTCCCACAGCCCACAGCTTAACTCCATCCCATCTCTTCCCACTGTGAGCCCATTACCACTGGAAGTTCAGGAAATCTCTTTCTCCCTTTCCAAATGGACCAACTGTGCTGTTTCTTTTGCTTCTGCCTCAGGCTGCAAATACAGTTGTCTCTTCAGGCTGTGAACCAAAATGATGGGAGCAGGTACCACACCATTGTGTGTCCTCTTGGAAAGCACAGACTGCAGTTAGTGAAAGGAAAAGTGGAGAAATAAAATATAATAATAACAATAACAATAATTTTTCAAGTAGCAATTGTAAAGGTCTGTCCTTTGATCATTCTCACCCCCAGAAGCTTCCAATTTTTTTAACTCTAATCTCATTTCCCTCTTCTTTCTTTTCTCCATCTTTTTATCTCCTGCTGACTTGTAATTTTACCCCTTGGCCCCACTAGTAAGGTGCTGGGAGGAAATGCCTGAGAGGTCTCTTCTCCATTATAGATTTATTTATTCAGCAAGAGCTGTCTTTGGACCAGGGCTGTTACAACCAAAGCCAATGGTAACCCACGTTCTCGTTGCTAAATTCTTTGGAGCAAGTTAGAGTGAAATGACACTGAATGACTGGTGTTTGTGTAAATATACACAAGCAGGGTTTATTGTAAAAAAAATATGATTACACAGTGTTATGGATGAATAATAAGATAGTTGGTTCTCACAATTAAGGGGTGAACATTACAGGTATGTTAAGAGAAATTTTATAGATGCACAGTTATGTTACTGCAGTGTGTTCCCCCAGTATTGTTATCACGGGATGGCCAGACATTTGGGAAGGTTGGCTTGTTACTATGGTAACACCTGACCTCCAATCAAAATGCAAGAAAGTGATCTCCACCAGTGGACCTCAAGGAAGGAGTCGACTGACGAGGCTCTAGGAGAAGCTAGAGATATAAAAGGCAGAACATCCATTCTGAAGATGAGCCACGTGGCTGGTAGTCATGGCGGAGCTCCCAGTACTGTAATTTTTCCGTATTTAGTCTTTTTGTTGTATTTTTTTGCTAAGGTTTAATAAATCTTTAAAATTTTAAAAAGTGAGCTGTTGTTTCTCACAGTACAGGCAAGTAGGTATGTAGTGGTTTTGGTGGTTATCTACAGTAATCTCCTGACAAGAGTAGGAAGATCTCATCACACAAAGGCCTCAAGACAGGTCACACTGGCCATTACACATCCAAAAGCTCTCCTCCTCCATTTTAACAAAGCACCCTGGCACCTCCACAAATGGGAGCATGTTTTGAGTCATCATCCCTTCACAGTTCAGTCCCTCACAAGGGGCCTCCTGGCATCTCGGATGCAGGATGGCAAAGGAATATTCTGCTCAATCCTGGACTTGTCTGTACTCCCAAAGCCCTTTCAGACCACAGGCCTTTTGATTAGTCCCCAAACCCCCTGATGTTGCTTCTGTCCCCACCAATCCTTACCCTGGGGCTCTGGGCATTATCTGCAGAGGAGAAACACCTGCCAGCAGTACAGAAGGAGCCCTGAGCCTCTGGCCATCCCAGTGCCCCTCTGGGACACAATAGGAAGCCGGGGCTGTTTTTAAGGTAGATTTTCCACCCCTGACAGCAATGCTAATTAGTTTCTTGAATATCCCTTGTTCTTTATACCTGAACTAGCCACCTTTGGAGTCCTGCTTGTGTCGAAAAGGCAGGGCAAGACGGAAGAGCAAGATGGAAGAGGTGGCACCAGCTCTCTGACCAAAGGGCAGGTGGCCCATCTCCAAGGCAGGCTCAGCACATGGTACACTGGATCTGGGGCAAAGGGACACTCTGGCTTCCAAGCAAACAGTCACATCCAGTGCTGGTGGGTTCTCTGGCACAATTTCCTTGGCAGGGACAGAACTGGAGGTGGCTATAAGCGAGCTTGGGCTCTCCTGGGGGCTTGGTGGGCAGGACAGTGGTGCTGAGGGTTCGGTGGCAGCCCTGTGTATCCATGGCCTTCCAGCAGGCAGACAGCTGCCACTGGTTCAGGGGCGACCCCCAGGCAGGCATATTTGTGCCTCAGGCTGATCAAGAGCAGGGCCAGCACGTGACCCAGTCCCTGCTGTGTGCCCTGGTACATGGTCAGGGAATAGTCTCTGCAGTGTCCATGAGGAGAGCTGTCCCATGGTGCTGCCAGGGCTCTCCTGGCCCAGCTGGAGCTGCATCTGGGAGAATGCCAGTGCAGGGGACACCCAGCACTCTTCAGGCAGGGATGTGACTGTGTCAGGACCTTCCTAATCAGAGACACTGTGTCAGAACCCCCGGCTCTGCTCCTGCTCAGCAGCACAGGGCCACACTGCTGAACCCAGGACATGCTCCTGGGGATACTGGGGACTGGTCCAGCTGCAGGTGGGGAAGGGGGATGAGTTGTAGTGGGATGAGACATGGCACAGAGCGCCCTGGGTGTCCCAGGTCTGCAGTCCTTTTTCCCTGAGGGGCAGCATCTGCTGGTGGATGCTGGAGGCCAGGATTGTGCTGCAGAGATGGCATCACAGGTGTGAAGGAGGCTCTAGGAGACCTCTAACCTGCCAAAGGGAGGCTGGGGATCGATCCTGACAGGAAATATGGGCACTAATGTCTTTACAAATGACTTGATGGGTGAGGATCTTTAGGAGAAATAGGTGTTAATGTCTCTACATCAAGCTACAAGTCTGTTGCAGAACCCAGACAATTTGACCCAGACAGTTTGAACTTCAGGATCATAGGAGAAATGCATCCACACAAGTCTACTGCAGAACCCAGACAGTATGAACTTCCAAACTTTGGGGGAAAATGTCAATACATATTCAAGGGGGAATGTGTGGTAGGTGGTTCAGGAAGGCTGTACCTTCCTAGTTCCTCAGCCAGTGGGGAAGGGAAGAGGGTAACATGCGGCCAAGAGTTTAGGATAAAAGGAGGCAGCATCCTCCAAAACCAAGAAACTGCACAGGGGTATGTCCCAGTGGACTCTCTCCCTTTACTCAAATAAAGTTGCAGGACTCCTCTGTCTCCTTTAGCGACAATGGCTTTTCATAGAGTGGCTTTTCTGCACAATCCTCAGCTTCCAGAGCATTTCCTTCTTTTCCCTTTCTGCCCCACAGAGCTCCCTGCTCCACCTCTGTTCTGGGCCAGCTGGGGGTGCCTCCCTCTGCGCCAGCTCCCCGCAGACACGTGCACTGGCTGCTGCTGCTACTCCTCCCTTTTGGGTTCTAGACCGCTCTGGGTTCCAGTGGGAGCCCAGAGCTTCAGAGAAGCTGGCTTTTAACTTGTGACAAGTCTTGCCACAGCAAACAAAGTGTCTCAAGTCAACACTAACTTTGGTGCCTAATGACAGTCCCTTGATGGCGGTCCTGGTATCTCATCCCTTCCTCTCCCAATTTGCAACAATGTCAGCTTTGCCGGTTCTTGGTTTAGTTACCCTTCATTCAAAGATTCCCAGAGATTTTTTTCATTCGTCCACTATGCACACAGTGATTCCTGGAGGGCTGCAGAAATGCAACACCAACAGCAGTAGTCTCCTCTGGGGTTTTTAGAGGGAACACCCCCTCATACAGCTGTTCTGAGCCTTCCTGCAGCCAGATTTTACTCCTAAAAATGACACAACTGAAAAGCTCCAATGATCAGTGACCTAGCTGAGCAGTGATCAGAAAAAGCAACACTCTTTATCCCACTGAAGCCTAATAGTGATGTTTGTTGGAAAAATAGCACCCCAATAAGTTCTCTTGTGACAAACACAAAAGTTTTGGTACAAAAGAAGAAGCTTCTGATTAACGAAATAAAAATGTAAACAAGCAATGAGAGCAGACACTGCTCTGCCTTCTTGGGGCAGGAAGCCAGAATGTCCCTCTGCTCTGTAAAGGACATCCTTCTCACCAAAATTAAGAGCTCTGGAATGCACCACAAAGCAGTCAGTGCTCACCAGGCTCTGACAGCAGTTCAGCCTGGGCAGCTCAGCTGAGATGAGTGCTTGCACTACTTCAGTGCTCACAAGAAGCATCTGGACCCCACTTGACTCTCAGGAAATGTCTATAGATCCCAAATAGCATCCTCATTTGGAAAAAAAAATAGCTACAGGCAATGGGATGATGGGATACAGGCAATGGGAAGGTCTTAAGCATCTGGAACAACAACTTGCATTTTATTATCCAAAACCACTCTACTACTTGCTTGTAGAGTACAAGCAGAGACAGGAGGCAAAGTGAATGTGGAGCCCCACAAACCCTGCTCCATCCTGAGGAAGCATCTGTGGTGCTGTGTCCAGGCTGGACTCCAGGTAAATACATCAAGAACGTCACTGACACACAACAGTAAATCAAGTGCAGGCCGGCAGGATTGCTGGGGCTGGAAGTAAGGGATGCATGAGGAGAGGGGGGATGAGGTTTGTTCATTCTGGAGTATCAAAGGCTTTGAGGATGCCAGTTGCTGCCTTCAGAAGCACGCACCTCATGAGAAGATGCTAAAGGGACAGTGCTGGGTCCTTAGAGGTGCATGATGATAGGACAAGTGTTGATGGGCTCACAGTAGAACACAGGGAATTCCAGCTGGCTACACAAGAGAAAAAAACTACCATGAGATGGCTCACGTGCTGGAACAGGGCCCAGAGAGTCTGTGGGATCTCCATCCCTGGAGACACTAGAAGCTCAGCTAGAGGAGAACCTGAGCAACCACTCCTAATGGAATCTGGAGGGGGAGGCTGCTCTGGAGACCTCTGAAGCTCCCTTGCCACCTACCTTGTTCTGTGATAGCACAGAGCAGCAGAGATAGCACAGGTTTAATAAGAAAACTTGCAATAGACTTCAATAAAACCAAATGGGTGACCACAGCCCTGCCCACAGCTGATACCAGGTGAAAGAAACGCCCCATAAGAAAGTGAGAGGAGGACAGAGGTTGGCGTGCTGGAAGGTAACCAATGACAAACCCAGCCCACCCTCCAGATTTCTCATTGTACTCCATACCTTTGTGTGGGAGAAGAGGTTTGTTTTGGTCTGTTTGGAGGATACCTTGTAGGAGTCTCCTAGGTGCACAGAGCAGATGTCTTCACTCCACCTCATCCTGAGCAGTTCTGGCAAAGTGCAGACAGTCTGTCCATTGTCCCCAGCCTGCTGGGGGCAGGCTGTGGAGTCCCCTCACGGCCTCCTTCCACAGACCATCCAGCTTTTCCAACTGCTGGGCCGGTGGAAGACATGCAGCAGGACAAGGCACTTTGTGTGGCAATTGGAGAACAAAGGACAAGCAGGAAGTGTATTGCCGGAAGGTTCAAAGCAGTGAGAAACCCGTGTGGAAAGAAAAACTGTCCAGCTGGCAGAGATTAGGGTGCACACAGGCACAGATTTGCTCAACTCTCTGCAACTCTGACAATCCACCAGGTAGGGTCTGTGTTTGCGCTTCTTTACAAAGTAAGCGGATTAGCTCGGAAGGGAGCTCTGGAGGCCTTTGCTCAAAGCAGGGCCTTCAGCTCTGATGCGACAGCATGGCTGGGTGCCATTCCCTGGCAGAATGCAGAGCTGCTGGTCGCACACAGCGACCACAGCGACCCGGACCCAGCGGACGGTCCCTGCCGCCAGGAGCCCCCGCAGCCCGCGGGCCCAGGGAGCCGGCTCTGCCCGCGGGCCCAGGGAGCCCGCTCTGCCCGCAGCCTGCGGGCCCAGGGAGCCGGCTCTGTCCGCGGGCCCAGGGGGCCGGCTCTGTCCGCAGCCCGCGGGCCCAGGGAGCGGCTCTGCCCGCAGGCCGCGCTCCCCGCCCGCTCCTCGGCTGCAGGGGCCTCCGGGCCCGCAGGGAGCGCTGCAGCGCGGCTCGAGGCTCGGCCGGAGGCGGCGGGAGCCGCTGGGCCCGTTCGTGGTCAGGAGCGGCCTTGTCCCGGCGGGGACAGAGTGCTGTCCCCCGGACAGTCTGGCACAGCTGCCCGGGGGCTTTTCGCTTCTCCCGCAGCGCTGAGCACTGCGGGCCTTGGAGCCGCTTCTGGCGAGGGAATCCCTGCTGTGGCAGGGCCGGGAGTCCAGCTGTGGCTTCCATCCCTCTGCCTCTCCTCCCTGTGCCAGGTTGGCAAGTGAACTCCAGCTCCGAGAATCTGTATACATGAGATCACCTGGGGGTTTCTGCCCTGTGCAGAATTTGGCCAACTTGGTAAGGCCTCTGGAGGGATGCTCTGCCCAAAAGGAGTCACCACTTGCTGCCAGGACATGCCTGCAATGAAGGTGGAGTGCTCTCTGCCAGAACTGTGATTTGTGCCTCAGGACCTGAGAGGTGACATCATCCCTAACCGGAATGTGAGTGGAATCAAATCTGCTCGCAGCTTCTCCAGTGTTCCTGCAACAGAACTCAGGAAGTCCATGTCCCTGCATAACCCCGAAGTACATCTTTGCAGGTGGATGTGCATGGCAAGGCTTGAGGGGTTCCTCCTGTGTTTTTATTTGTGCTTTCCAATAAAAACGTCCAGTTCTGCTTTGACCATGAGGTGAATCCAAAAGAAATTTATGAAGATCTGCCCTTTTCCTTTCCTGGAGAATCTCTGGCCACAGGGCACAGGCAAGGTGACTATCAGCCTCAAGAATGCATCATGAGGTAACTGTGCATGTGGCGTGGCCACATGGTAGAGGCAGTCCTGAAGCTTGAGAGCCTGTGATACTGTTCTGGCACTCCAAAATGACTGACAAGGACACAAAGATAAATTAAAGCAAAGTTGTAGGTGCTATGAGTATCCAAAACAAAAGCATGCAGCCTCCTGACCAGTGCTGCCCTTTCTTCAGGGATGCTCCAGGGGCAGATTTCTGGAAGAGCATCTGGATTTGCTAATTAACTTAGTGGTTTACTAGACCAGATCCATTCCCCAGCCTGTTGGGCTCCATGGGCTCGTGCTGCTCACAGAACTTTGGTGCTTCTGCAGAGTCACCATTCCTGATGGCTGTACTGGACTAGACATAGGCATGTTTTGTCTCAGTCATTCTGATTTACAACAGGCAAGATATGACTGTAGGAGAGAGTCCCATGGAGGTTGGGCAGTGCATTCTTAGCCAGTTTCCTGCTCCTCCCTGAGTTTTATGCTCAGTTCCCTCCTCCAGCGCACTTCCTGAAGGAGAGCTGAAATGGCTGGCTGTGCATGCATGAACAAAACAGCACAAAGAGTCAAGTTTACAAAAAAGCTTGTACCTGGTCAACTGGAAAATAAAGTGGATTGGGCCTACTCATTCTCTTTTCCCTCCCTTTCTTTTTCACTTTCTTTGTCTCACAACCCCAGCCCTGGACCACCCATGCAGCAAGACCAAGATGGGATCTACATACTGATTATAATCTTGTTCTCTTTCTCCCTCTTCTGTGTTTATTCCTCTCCTGAGCAAAGCACACTTACCATATTCCACCCCATACTCTGTAGTGAACTTCGTTGTGCAAGTGGGAAGTTTATGGAAATGTGTTGTGGCTTGTTGGGCAGCACCCTGTGGAAGTGTGTTATAAGAATTTACAGGCTTGTTGGCCAACACCTTTTGAGTCTAAGCAGTGGGCTGGTTGCCAGAGTTAGGGTGACTGTACAGTGAAACATAGGAGTTCCTGACATGTATCCAGCAGCTTTGTTCAGCCTGGTGAGAATTTATGCTGAACATCATTCCCCTGACCAGTGGGTCGTGACAGCAGCAGCACAGGCCCAGGCTACCATCTTTGGCCAGGGACAAGGAAGCTCCCAAGTCCCAATTTCCTTTGCAGAATCCCTTGTGTCAGCAGCATGCCATGTCTCCAGGACTCACTCCATGAATTGCTGCTCTATGTAACTGCCCTTCTTTGTTACTGCTGACTACCTTTAACAGCCTGGGACACAGCTGGCCTCATGCTGCTGGCCAGCATCTGCAGGGGCTCTGTGGTGTGACGTTCCTGAGGCTGCCCTCCGTAGAAATTGCTGGAATTCTTGCCTCGTGTCTGTGCTGGACACAAATGAGAGCTAGGACAGCAATTTCATTGGACTGAGCCAGGACAAGCCCAGACTCAACTGCACCAGACTCAGCTCCAGTGGGAAGGAGAAATTCACTGGGGCCCAAGGCCACCTGAAATTAGCTGCTTCCTTTACCAAAACCAGGGAAACTGGCTTTACTGGGAGATGTGGGGAGTTCAAGGAGGAACACTCAAGTTTTTAAACTTGTCCTGCACTCATACCCCCTTGCTGAGCCATGCGATGATGCGGATGTGGTGTGGAGGCTGCAGGCCAGGGTGCACAGGCTGTGGCCCTGCCAGTCCCCGTGGGCTGCTCGGGGTGGAGCTGGCTGTGTGCAGGGCCCTGCTCTGCCACCTGGGAGTTACAAGCACACACGTGCTGTGGCTTGTTCACCTGACTTTGCAGTAAATGATTCACCCAGTGCCATACACGCTTCCTGCTGCAGGCACCCAAACCTTCCCAGCATTTGTCACAGGCAGAGCTCAGTCACATCTGTTGCACACAATGGGAAGGAAATCTGAAGCATGTGGGAATTTTTTTCTCGTCAAGCTGCTTTGGTCCCTTCATCTCATTTCCAAAGAGATGATAATACCAGCCCACAGTTTTCCTTGCACATTGAAAGCAAAGCAACTGGGCTTTCCAGAAATGCCTCAACCCCATGAACTTTCCTCTCCCCAGTGTACCAGCCCACAGCTCCTGCCAAGCCCCATGCATGCTGGAAAGGGGGTCCCTGCTCTGTGTTGCTGCTCCTCCTCTTGGTAAGCCCAGCTCCTGCTGATTCATCACTTACCTGACCTTCACCTGGAGTGCAGTGATATGCACCAGCCAGGTACTGCTCCTTGCAGAGCTGCTTCCTCCTGGGTAGTTCCTATCATTTAAAGGGACACGCTCACCAGGGCAGTAAAACCAGGTGCACTGATCACCAATGGCATGGGGAAATACCTAGGGGCTAAGGGAAAACAGAAAATGGTAGGAATTTCCTCCTACCATCAGTAGGAGGAAAGTACCATCCTCTTACAAGGAACCTCTGTGCCTTGTGGTGGTTTTGGGGTGGTTTTCTTTGTGTTCCTTAAGTCTTGGGGCTTTCTGCATTTTCCTATAGACAAAGCTGGTTATTTACTGCTGGAAGCAAGGCACAACTCCTTGATGAAGGTGGAGGTTGTCTAGTCCCTGGCTCAAGCAGGGTCACCTAGACAAGGTTGCCCAGGGCCTTCGGGGTGCCCTATGACTCTTGGAAAAAACCTTGAGGAGGCTGCAGCTGTGGCTGAGGACCCAGAGCAGGAAATGTCTCCTGTGAGCTGCAGGACCCGCAGATGTGCAGAGCCTGACCACCTCCATCGTCCCTACAGCCCAGCATCACACTGAAAATAGCTGATGGAGCCAGCTCTGCTTCTGCAATGAGAATCTGGCAAGAGAGAAGAAAAGTCAGCCCCTGTAGTCCCTTCCCCGTATAAAATTAGACAATATATCCTAGAGGGATGGCTCTTTCCTTGAAGAAGTCTGGGCAGATGCTACGTGATGACAGCCAGCAGAGCCTTCCCAGAGTCTGGGGCCAGGCACATGGGCTGTCTTTGCCCAGGGTGGACTGTGCACCCATGGGCACCAGTGCCACCCCAACCTGAACCAATGCTCTCCCTAGAGCCAGGACTGCTGGGTGCAGGCAAGTAAAGCCCACCACACTGGTCTCTGGCCCCACAGGGAGCAGGCAAATGCCATGAAAGCAGCAAAAGAGCCTGATTCCCACCACATTCCAGTGCCCCCATCTCCGTCAGGCTGATGGAAAGCCTGAGTAGCCTGATTCAGCAGGCTGGGGCACTTCTGCCTGCTGTGTGATGAGGGTCCCAAGTCACACAAGTGTGATAGGGTAGCACTAGTGTGGAGTCTTGTTGCCAAAGGATGGGATCCAGATGGGACAGAGATGTCACATAAGGCCACGGCTTGACCCAGGCTTTCCTAGGCAGACAGGTGGTGACTGTGTTGGCTGCCAGCCGGGGGAGTGCCCACCAACCAGCATGGGGTAGAGGGACTTGAGGGTGCATGCCAGAGTCCACAGGAGCCCTCAAGGGTCTCCCTGGATCTGCAAAGTACTTGAATTGATAATCTCAACTCAGACGTGAGATAACTGCACCATTCCTTTGCTCATTCCAACTTCCAACCTTCCAACCTTCACAAGACATTTTCTTGTCACCCTGATTTTGTAAACATCAGAAGACTTTGTTAAGTCTTCTGATGTTTACATTCTTTCAACAAACTTTCTCACACACAGTTCTGTAAATAACCTATGTTTTGCATTCTTTCATGGAGGTGGAGAGAATTGATGGACCCTTGGTCTGTCCAGTGGCATTGGAGAGGTGGCACTGTCACCCTCCAATCCACTGTCACCTTTGGAAAACTATAAATGTTGGAGTCAGAAAATAAAGGTGCTTCTTTTTTGTTCCCCTCGAGAGCAGCAGTGTCTGTGTCATCATTTTGTGCCTTATCACAACATTTTCTCTCATGAAGTTGTTTCCCTGTTCTGCCTTTCATGTTCAGAACCATGAATGTCCTGGATGCTCTATTGCTTCCTTCCACAAAGCTGTAAGTTCCAGCCTGGATCAGTAAAAAGCAGAGAGGCTTATATCCAGTGCTGCAGCAATTCCTTTTCCAGAAGGCAGAGCTGTGCATCTCCCCCAGCAGTGCCTGTTCCCAGGTGACACAAGCAGGCCAGCAGCATGCATGGTACACATACAATGGGGAGCCAGTGCTGCTGCTGGCTGGGACGAAGGGCAAGGCTGGACGTGGGGACATCTGGGGGTGTGTCAGCACTGAGACATGGATGAGGCTCCAGGTCTGGCAGTCACTCACACAGTCTGGTCATCCAGCTGCTGCCTGCAGGATGTCTCCATAAGAGGCATCACCCCAATGCCCATGCTGGCCTGGGGAGTGCAAAAGGAGAATAAATTAGTCCTGCCATGACTCAGAGTTCAGGGCAAATAAAGTCTGATTTCTCCTCTTCTTCAGCCCAAATAAGCCTAGCTCCTGTCCTGACTAGCTCAGCAGCCTTTACCAGCCTCACTCCAGTATGGGATCTTTCTTATACTGGGGAGCCCTAAATGGAACATAGCATGCAGAAGAAGAGGGTAAAGTATTGCTTCACCAGCCCATTTCTGCACTCCTGCTGACCCAGGCTGGGACCCACTCCCTGCATGGACCATGACTGCTGGCATTTTCACCAGAGCTCAGTGCTCCCCCACTGCAGGCTCAGCCTGAGTCCTTGGGAGCTTAGCCACACACTGGCCTTGTCTACAGCCTTGAGCCACGTCAGCGGAGCTGGGTGCAGGGCTGACAGTGCTGCCTGTTGAGTTGGGTAGCCCAGGGCTCAGCCCCAAGTCCTCACTGTCCAGCCAGACACCAGCCTTGTGCCAGCAGCTGGCAGCAGGGCAGTAGCTGCATGATTACAGTGGGGAGATCTGCTGCAGGGCCAGCCCTGTAACCCACTAGCTGCTTGGGCAGTGAAGGCCAGAGCATTAGGCATCCCTCCTTATCCCCTGTTATCTTCCAGATAAACCCAAACTGGGTTTTCTGTCTCTCATACAGTCATCCACTTGTCAGCCAAGGCTGTCCTGTGCTGCCCCGTGGATCCCTCCCTGTGGGGTCCCACAGGGCTGCCAACACAGCCCAGGCACAGGGCAGCCCCAGGGTGCTGGGCATGAGCGGGGACAAAGCATGCACAGAGCAGCCCCAGGGGCACTGGGACAGGAACACAGTACAGGGTGGCAGAGCCCATGTCAGGAGGGCTCTGTGGATCCCTATGGGTGGAAAGCTGGTTCTCCCACATCTGGGGTACCCCCAAGCAGAGCCCTTCCCCAGCCTTGGCATGCCAGTCCTGCCAGCCCTCAACCAGCTTCATTAACACAGCTCCCAGGACAGGGGAGACCTTTGTGGCATATGGGGTGATGTCATGGGTGGCACATGGCAGCCCTATCACAGCCATGGGGTGGACTCTGCCCTGTCTGCAGTGCATTGCTGTCAGGGAAATCCTGATAAGGTGAGATAAGCCCACACTGCCAAGCACCATCCATCAGACCCCAGTGTCTCCCAGTTAGGATTAGGGCACACGGGGATCCACAGACCACCTCCCCTGCCCCCCCCCCCCCCCCCCCCCGGGGCCCGGAGCTCAGACCACCTCCCCTGCCCCCCCCCCCGAACGCCAGGACACAGACATGACTCCAGATTAGCCCTGGAAGAAAAAAACTCACCAGAGGAACCAACCTTCCTTCCTTCCTTCCTTCCTGCCTTCCTTCCCAGAACTTCCCTTCCCACAGAGAGGTGCATGTGGACTTAAGTGGGCCAGTTCTCCAGAGCAGGGCCAGCATCCTTGTGGGATGCAGCAAGATTCCCAGACACACTGGCCACCCTAAACAACGTTTCCCTGGGGCACTGGGGCTCTGGGATAGGTGGAGGGGTAAGCTCTGCCCCACAGCCCAGCTACCCTCCCAAAGTACTGCCAGGGTAGAGAGATCCTGATTCCCAGGGGGATATTGTACCAGCATAAGTTGTGCCACCAGCTGGAAAGCAGCTCTGCAGGGATCCTTGGGATGCTGCTGGGCACCAGCTTGGCAGAAGCCAGGGATGTGTCCTCATGGCACCAGGCAAAGCTGGGCAGGGAGCGCCAGTGGGGAGCCTGTGCTGCTCCAGCTGTGATTACCTGGGCAAGGCACAGACATGCTGGGGTGAGTCCAGCAAAGTGCCGTGATAGTGGTGGAGTGACTGGAGCACCTGTACTCTGTGGGGTGGCTGCAGGAGCAGGGTCTGCTGAGGCTGGAGCAGAGGAATTTTGAGGGATCCTACTAATACACAGGCAGGGAGGGTGCAAGGAGATGAGAGCTCTTCCCAGTGATGTCCAGTACTGGAACAAAATGCAATAAGCACAAACTGGGACATGGCAGGTTCCTTTGAATATCAAGAAACACCATTGTACTGAGTGTCAGGCCTCAGTACAGGTTACAGGAAGAGTTGCCCTGGGGGGTGTGGTGGCTCCATCCTCAGGGATCCTCAGCTCTCAGACAGGTCTCATTCTGGGCCATGGGCAGCTTCTGCAGGGGCTGGACAGGACAGTGCTCAGTGTCCTGACTGCACACAGTGGACACTTGAGCTGTGACATGGCTACAGCCTGTGCGGGACACACACATGGGCACGCACGGCACAGGGGCATACACTCACATACGTGTGCACATGTGTGCTCAAAGCGAGTGTGCAGGCACCTGTGCACACCTGCACACACACCTGCATCCAGAGGCGTGCACGTGAGAGCGCACTCGTGAGTGCCCAGGGAGAGAGCGCGTGGGGTGGGGTGCGTGTAGCAGGGGGTGCCCGGGATGGGGGGGTGCCCGGAAATGGCGGGTGCCCTAGAGGGGGGTGGTACCCGGGATGCTGAGCCAGGGCTGGGGACCCCGGCTGCATCCCGCCGCTCTACCCCCGGGCGGGGCGGGGCGGGCAGGGCGGGGCCTGCGCGGCGCGGGCCAATCAGCGCTGTGCTCGCCGTCGGGCGCGGGGTTAAAGCCGGGCGCCGTGGGGGGGGGCGGGGCGGGGCGCGGGATGTGGGTGCGCGCGGTTCTGGCCTGTGCGGCGCTCTGCGCGTGCGCGCGCGCCTGGCTCGGCGGGGCTGTGTGCGCGCGGGAGGCGGCGGGCGCGGGCGGCGCGCGGTACGTGGCGTTCCTGAGCGCCGGCACCGCCACCGGACCCGCGCTGGTCGAGAGCATCTGGGCTGCCCCCGGCCGCCTCCGCGCCTGCTGGGTCCGCCGCGATCCGCGCCTCGCCCGCGCCTTCCGTGCCGCCTGCGCGCATCGCCCGCCTGCCGCGCCCGGGACCGCGCTGCGCCGGGCCCTGTCCGCGCTGTGGCGGCGTCGTGCCGCCTGCACCGACCCCGTGCCGCCGGGACCGCAAGGCCGCCGCCGCCGCCGGGGCTGGACGCTGCCGGGAACGCTGTGGTGCGGCGCGGGGAACTCGGCGGGGAACTGGAGCGAGCTGGGTACGGAGCGGCGGGGGGCGGCGGGAGCACCCGGTCTCCCTCCGCGGGACCGCGCTCATCGGCGCCTCCGCAGGACTCTTCCGCGGCCCCGACCGGTGCTGTCGGGAGCACGACCAGTGCTGGGCGCAGATCACGGCGCTGCAGTTCAACTACGGTATCCGCAACTATCGCCTGCACACCGTGTCCCACTGCGATTGCGACGCCAGGTGAGCCCGGGGCGTGAGGAAACGGGGGGCTTGGGGAGCCCGCCCTCCTCACCGGTCCCCTGCCCGCAGGTTCCGGCGATGCCTGCTCTCCATCAACGACACCGTCTCCAACATCATCGGCGTCACATTCTTCAACCTGTTGGAGGTGCCGTGCTTTGTGCTGGAAGAGAGCGAGGAGTGCATCCAGTGGCACTGGTGGGGCGGGTGAGCTCCTGGGGGTGCCCCGGCCCTCAGCGTTTCCTGCCCGGCTGCCTCCTCGGGCACTGGCTGGGTTGGTGTGCAGGACCTCACAGTATGTGGTGTCCCCAGGTGTGAGCGTTATGGAGTAGTGCCTCTGGCCAGGATGGTGCAGCAGAATCAGTACCACCCCAGCCTACCATCGGAGGAGAGGGGCAGCCCCACTGTGCAGCCCCCGGGCAAGGGAAGGAATTTCTCTAGAACAGGGCGTAAGCGGTTTCGACAGGAACTGAGGGTAAAGTCTGGGCGCCGCCAGGCACGGAGACCTAAGACAGCCCAGCAGCCACAGGTCCCAGGTACCCCTGCCTCGGCCAGGGACAAGGCTGAGCTCACAACCAGGCACCCAGCAGTGCAGTGGCGGCTAGAGCCTGGCCATGCAACAGCATCGACAGTGTCAGGACGGGATTTGGTTGGAGCAGAGCAAGGAGCTGGAATCTCAGCACGTCCTTGGTATGGCAGCCTTGGACCAAGCCCAGCCACAGCACAGTGTGGAGCCACCCCCATGCCGGCAGTGAAGGGGCGCAGGCAGCAGGGTGAGCCGGTACTGTGGGCAGCGTGTGCACACCACAGCTGGGGTGGCCCAAGGCCTCAGGCTGGGGGGGTCATGCGCTGGGGGTGTCCATTACCTCCCCGCTCTCCTCAGGCCTGGGCAGGGGGTGCAGGTGCAACAAGCACCTGGGTAAGTGTGAGCACCAGATTGCTCCCCATGAGGTGAGGTACCAGCTGCACAACGTGGACAGCCGGACACTCTTCCACTGCAACTGCACGCGCAGGTGTGAGTCCAGGAGGAAAAGGGCACTATGTGCATACAGAGGAGGTGGGATGCCTGCCCTGGCCAGCACCTGGTGACACGTGCCCTCCTGTGCCTGCAGACTGGCACGGTGCCTCCACAGGGCAAGGGACTGTAGTGACACGGACTTGGCTGTCCTGGTTGACCGCATCACCATGGACTGCTTTGTGCTGGAGCTGCCTGCTGCCTGCAGCCCAGGCAAGGGGTCACAGCACAGGTAAGTGGGGAGGTCAAGAGGCCAGGGCCTGGGTGGGGCAGGAAAGCAGTAGTGCAAGCGTTGGCCCCTACTCTGCTGTGCCACAGCCAGGCTGCAGGGCAGGGGCAGCAGATGTTGGTGCTGCAGGGTTACAGTGATGCTCACAGCTTTGCTTTTCCAGCAGCTGTACCATGGTGACCAGGGCTGTGCTTGTACCTGCACAGCGGCTCAAAAAGATTCTAAGACGCAGTGGCCCTCTGCGTGTGAGCTCCAAGGCCAAGCATCCACACTGGAAGACACATGCCGTGGGAGAGACCCCCTGTGAGCAGTGCCAGCATCTGGTTGTAGAGCAGACACCAGCTTGGCCCCACACAGTGCTTCGATGACACCCAAGTGGTGTTGTCTTGGGGAGGAAGGGGAGAAAGATGTGCTGCACAGCAGCTGCAGCTGGGAGCTGCTTGGGGTCTGGTCCTCAAGTCAAAGGATGGCACTGAGCATGGCTGTTGGCATGACAGCATGGAGCTGGGGACCACAGCCAGAGCAGGCAGAGGGACTGAGAAGCTTCTCAAGGAGCTGTGGCTGCCATCCATGAGTATCAAAAGCAAGGGGAAAGAAATAGGAGGGCTCAGGAAAGAGAAAATCCATTGTCCTTCCCTGGTGTGCTCTGGGGCAGGGGGGGTGGCAGGACACCCCACCCCTAGATTGGTGACCCTTCAGCTGGAGGGCCTGAGCAGTGAGGTGTAATCCTGCCCAGGCAGGGTAGGAGGGGTGGGGTCAGTACCTGAAAGCAGCAGAAAAAATAAAGGGTGGCTAGTCAGAGCACCGTGTATGGTACAAGAGTTGAGCCTGCTGTCCCCTCTTGACACTGTGGTCCCCACCCCAGGGCTGATGCTGCCCCCAGCAGTGAGCACAGTGCAGCTGGGGTGGGCAGGATCATTTATTTTGTCACTTGCACTATGTTCAGGCTGAGGCACAGTGGCAGAGCAGGGAAGGAGCAAGCTTTGATCTCCAGGGTACCCTGTGGGAGTCCTTGCTCTGTGCCTGTCACCATTCCTGCCAGAGCCCTGCCCTGGCCTTTTGAGCCACCTCAAGTGTGAGGCCAGCACTCCTCCCATGGGACAAGAGTCCTGCACTTGGAAATTCATGAGAGGTTCCCCAAACCACATGAGACCAGTTTTGCCCATGCTCCCCTGTATGGGGGAGCAGCAAAGGGGGGCCTCTACTTGCCAGGCACACAACAGGGGTGAGGAGTCACTGCAATAAATAACGGAGGGAGTGTCTCAGCAGGGAAGTGGCAGAGGAAAGCACACAGCAAGCGCGCTACGGGGAGGAGGAAGGGAGCCACTGCATCAGCGGCCCATGGCACAGCTATGTCTGTCCAGCTCCTGGGGGCTGTGCCCCTCCTTTGGGGACGGGCCGCAGCCTGGGGGGCTGGTGGGGCTCATTCTTCGGCAAGGATAATAGCCCTGGTCTGCACTCTCCCGCTGCCGGCCCAGGGCCTGGTCAATCGTCTCCAGGCGCAGTGCAGGCAGCAGGCCCATGTTCCGGGGGTCAGCCCTGGCCAGGGAGCTGTCAGCAGAGACACGCCGGAGGCCACTTTGCTCCTGCACAGTCTGGTAGAATGAGCTGCTGTCTGGGCTCTCAGCTGCCTCTCCCAGCTCCTTACTCTTGACTTCACGGTGCCCCGGCTCCTCATGGGGCAGATGAATGGTGGGGATATTCCTGGGGAGGCTGCAACGGCTCTGGGGTGAGGGACTGCGGCTTGTACCCCTGTCCCGGCTTGATGGCCGCAGGATGAGGCCCTGGAACTTGGCCAGGCTGGGGCTTCGGCTCCGGTGACGTTTCATCTTGCCCGGGCTGGGACTACGGGATTTGGGAGCCAGGAGGACAAGTGTACTGTCATCCTCTTCTGAGCTGCTGCCTGAGCTGTCTGTAGAGCTGCTGCCCTCCTCTGACCTGGGTAGGGAAATCTGCACCCCTGCATCAGCACTGCTAGCTGACCCTCACAGGGGACTGTTGGGTACCACACCAGCTGGCCTCCCCCATCCAGAGACAACCCCGCCCCCCACCATATCCATCCCCCCACACCTCTTGGCTGTGCTCACCTGGAAGGGCTCAGTCACACCAGCGATGCTACTGGAGATGTTGCTGTAGTATCCAAGGATGTATTCGCCGTTCCCCTTGGGCAGTGCTTCCTCAGAGAACATCACCTGCAGCCCAGAGACACCTGATGGGCACAGGGGTGCTCCCCCTGCCACCTCCAACCCCAGCCAAAAGCACAAATCTCTGCTGCCCATACCATGAGCCTGCCCCATACTCAGCAAAAGCAAGAATGAAGTGCCTGCCTCCCCCATCCAGGGGCACAAAGGGGCGATTGTCCTCCCTCTATGGGGCAGAAGGGCCAGCAAGACAGCAGGGCTGGCCCCAGCTCACCTGTGCACACAGCTGCTTCTCCAGGCAGCGCTCCCCATCATCGCTCCTGGCCCAGACATAGGACACATAGTCTTTAGGGTGCCGAAACCCCACCTGTGCACAATACATGGGACAATACAAGTGAGTGGGACAATGTGAGCCCCACTCAGCACAGTCACTCTTCAGTCTCCTGGTGCTCAGCCTGTTCTGCTCACACAGGGTGACCCAAAGCTGCCTTGCACCCCCCTGCAGGTGTGCCCTGGGGCCATGTGGAGCCCACAGAGCAGGGGGAAGAAGGAACTGCTGGACCAGAGCCTCCTGAAGCAGGACCACATCATGATGCCAGGGGAAGGGAGGGCACAGCTCCATGCCCTCACCATGTTCGCTGGTGGGGAGTAGCTCAGAAGGGACCCCGCAGTGCTGTGCAGTGCTCCCCACTCCCTCCAGCCACAGCAGCCCCCAAGCCCCTACCCGGTAGAGTCCTATCCAGTCCCAGGAGCTCCGGTGGAAGCCAACAGCCATCTTGTACCTGACAACTGCCTGCTCAGGCCTGCTCCACTCGTCAGCCACATAAATCTCAACCAGGGGCTTGTCCACCTTAGAAGCAAACTGTCAGAGACAGGTATGTGGTGAGAAAGGGCATGGCAAAGAGCTGCCTCTGCTGCATAGGGACCCCATGCATACACCCACAGCAGCCCCCAGTAAGAGGCAAGGCAGCTGAGCTCACCAATCCGAAGCTCCCCACACACAAGGCTGGACATTCTGCCCCTGCAGCTCCTGCCTGTGTTCCCAGCAGCCCTGGACAGTGCTCACCTGCACGGCAAAGATGGCAGCTACTGGCTTGTGGTCACTGACGGTGTATTCCATGTGACTGCAGTAGCACAGCTGGCTCACTGACAGCACACCCTGGCTGGGCCGGTGCCCGCCTGTGCCCAACCCCTTGCTGGGAGGTTTTATCTTCCACAGGATGCGGTCAGTCCAGGCAGGTTTTCGCTTCTTGGCACTGCAGGGCACAGAGGGGCATGTCTTGCCTGGCAGGGGCAGTGGGCTCTGCCCCAAACTGCCTCCCCCTGGCACTAAGGCACTTGTGAGCAGAGGATGTGGCTCATCTTGGCACTCAGCACAGCTGCAGGGACAGACCTGTGCTGGCACCAGCACTGCCATCACATCACAGTCCAGCCTGTGCCCGCCCCAACATGGCTGCTCTCCCCACCCATTCACACCAGCACCTGCACTGGCTATGAGCCCCACAGCTCCTGCATCTCTCAGCCCCACCTCATGCCCAGCTCTCCTCTCCTACCTGCTGTCATACTTGTTGGTGCCCACATCAAACTTGAAAGTGGGTGGGAAGTTCAGGGGTCCCTCCTGGAAGCCTCTGAGAACAGGCCACGTGCTTTTGGCAATGTTCAGCTGTGGGGAAGGAGCACAGCAACCCCCATAGCCAGACCCCTCCAGAAATCCTGCCAAGATCTCCCCACCCTCACACACTGACATCCCAGTCCCATTCCTGCCAGCTCCTACAGCTCTCAGGGTTTGTCCATCTATGCCAGCAGCTAGTCTGTAGACTCAGTGCCTCAGATCTTCACACACTCATGAAGGAAGTGTGCCCAGCTCCATCCAGACTGACCTGGGATTCTGCTGTCCCTCCCCCAGAGACAAGAGAGCCAGGGCCCTTTGTGTCCTACCAGATGCAAGAGGACATGCCCTGTCCCACAGTTGCATGGGCAGTTTTGGGGAGAGTCCTTGACTGCTAGGGGTCCAGTGTAGGCTGGCAGCACACCCACCCCTCACCTGATCCTTCTCCCAGAGCTGGCTCAGGACATTGCTGTCAATGGCATACTTCACAAAACAGATGTCCAGGCTCTCGATGCGGAAATTCAGGTCCCCAAACCAGAACACGAGGCTGTGGATGGTAGCAAGGGCAATGGGCTGAAAGGGCTGAGGCTATCAGAGGCAGGGACAGCAGGACTAAGATGGCCCCAGCCTGGGGGCAGCCTTAGCCCACAGCACAGGTGCTCTTGGGAACACTGGCACAAGCCACTGCTCAGCCAGCAGCCTGGCCAGCTGCCAGGATTCTGCAGGTAAGACCATTAGCCATGGGCCAGACTTCCCCAAGCTGAAACCAAGGGTGGAAATTTCCACAGTGAGGCACCCATTGGATTGAGATCACAAAGCCACAGGGACAGAGGGACAGAGCTGGCCCCTCTGACTGGTCCCAAACCCCAACAGCGCTAGTAAGGCAGGAATTGTACCAGCCCTGAATGTGGTGAGACCAAGACCCCTCTATAAACACCTACCCCACCATGCTGAGTAGTCCATGCTGGGCCAGCTCTGCAGGCAAGACCTGATCTCCAAGCTGTGCTGGGATGCAGGGGAGACCCCTGACCCCACATGAAGGTGGTCAAGGACTGGGACTGGCACTAGAGCCCAGACTGGGAAGCAAAGTGGTGGGGTACGCACTCATGGTCCAGGATGCCGTTGGCCACGGGCCCCTCAAACTGCTGCATGTGCAGTATGGTGGCAAAGTCCTCCTTGCGCTGCTCTGCCTTCTCCAGGTGTGCTGGCAGGTGGCAGTTCAGGAAGCAGACCATGTGGCCGAAGATGGAGAGACGAACACTCACCCCACCCTTGTTGCCCTGCACCAAGAAGATCCCATGACGCCTTGAGAAGCCAGCCCCTTGCAGTATCCCCCCAGGGCCACACTCACCCAGTATCCCCCCAGCCCTGTCCTGGTGCAGTCTGTCTGGATGTCCTGAAGGAAGGGCAGGTGGTAGTACTTGGCAAACACCAGCAGGATCACACCTTGCATCCGCACTGTGCTGACCTGGAATTGGAGCAAGGGCTGGAGTAGGATGGTAGAGAGCCTGGGGACAACTCCCCCCATTCCAGGCCATGGGGCAGCACCTCCACCCTTTGTGTGCCACTGCATCCCACAGATGACTAACAGCACATTTGGTTCAGAGATCTGTGCGTACCCTCCTGAGCACTGACAGCCAAACCTGAGCCTCAGTGATGCTGGGCTTACATATGCTCTGACACAAATGCCTTCATGAGCTGAACCTGTCTGGGAGAGCTGAGCCTGCCCCGAGTCTCGCAGGCTGTTGCCAGCAGCACCGGCCAGTTCCCACATTCACCTCCTCACCCTGGTTCAATGTCACCCCAAAGCACCAGAGGGGAAGCATAAGCACAGGAAAGGCAGCTGGGTGGCACAAGCCACCCAGCTGGGCGAGATGCAGTAGCGGTCCCTGCTGCCTGGATGGCTGCAGGCTGTCCCTTCAGCCAGCTCTCCCACTGCACCTCCATCCCAGCTTTCTATTCCTGTGTCCCACCTGCCTGGCAGGCAGAGAGAACACCAGCAGCCAACCCCTTCAGGACTCCTTACCAGGATGAAGTGGAAGGGGCTCAGCACATCCATGAAGAGTTCACTCCACTGATCTGTGAAGAGGGCATCCTTCAAGCGCTTGTTTATCTTGGAGTTTACCTCCTGCAGCCTGAGAGGAAATGTACAGGTCCTTCAGCCACACCAGGAAACCAACTGTATCCCAGTTAGTGAGAATCTGGGAGAGAAGCACAATGCTGGGCAGCAGGAGAGGGTGGGAAGGGCAGTTCAAGGGAAGACATTGATTTTGGAGCACAAACCAGCCATGTCCTTGCTCCAGTGATTCTGGGCCATGTGGCGGCAGGAGGCACAAGTGGCCCTGAATGCAGGAGGCTTTGGCCCTTTCTAAAGCAGAAGCAATTAAGCTGCACAGGGTTGAGCAGAAGCCTAAAGCCCATCTCGGTGTGTAAGAGGGGCTTACGGGGCCTTTCAGTCTCTACAGAGAAGTCATGTCCCAACAGCACAAGGTGTCCAAATCTATTCGAGCTGCGTAGCTCAGAGCAGCAGCAACCAGAAAGCTAACAGTGCTTCTCCCAGCTCGGCAATTAAGGAAGAGAAGGAAAAACGTCCACAGAGAACACCACAATCAGGAAATTTCTTGCCCAAAAATATCGAGTGCTTAGAGCACAAAGACACAGGTCAGAGGAAGGACACAGCCAGGCAGAGATGCCAGGAAGTGAGGAGCAGCAGGACACCCTGCCCTGGCCAGAACATGGTCCCAGCAGGTCTCTTACTATCAGCTACACCCCTCACCCCATTCACCCAGCTCAGGTTGACCTCTAACACCCACACAGACCCATTCCACTGGCCTGCAAGGCCGAGGGGACTGAGAGGCTGGCTCCAACATAGCTCCAGCAGTGTCAGCCTTTACACCACTATGCCCCTGCAGCTGGGAGCTCAGGGGCAGTCCTGGAGGCAGATACAGCTTTTCTACCTCATACCTATAGGCAGAGGCTGCTTCCTGCTCCCTGTGCAAAGACAGCACATCCCTAGCTTTAGCAGGAATTCATACCACTGCAGTCCTCAAGGGACAACCACCCTCACCTCACCAGCCTCACCACAGTGCTGTGGTACTGCCCTGTCAGCAGGTCTGTGTAACAGGGGGATGGAGCCAATCCAGCCTCGGGAGAACAAGAGATCTATGCCCTTGATGCCTGCATACCACATACAAAAGCACATAGGAGGAGAATGCTCCCAGAGGACTTGGCCAGGTGAGTCAAATGCTTTGACAGACCTGACCCAAGGACTGTCACAGCTCACGGCAAGAGCAGGGCTAACTTGGTCCAGCATAGCCAACCTCAGGCTCGATGAGTATTCAAGTCTAATCAGTACTCAAGGGTTACAGTTCCTCTCAGCACTCCCATTCTACCAGGAGCTGACTCTCCATCACCTTTTCTGACATGCTATCATTTGTGACACACACCCCTCCCTACTCCCCATGCCCCAAGGGAGGCTGGGGCTGCAGCTCTTCCATTCCTTGTCCCCCACGGCTTTGGGGATTCCTCAAAAAGAGGATTGCTAGAGGGGGGAGGGGAAGGAAAAGGAGGAGCTGCACCTCATCTTCTTACCCAATGGCGATCATGTCCACATCGTTTGTCTCGCCCGTGTTGAGGTGCAGCAGGGACGTCACATCATTTGGGGGCATGGCTGTACCTACGTTCCAGGTGACCACTGTGATGCTTGAAAGGACAAAGGAAGAACAGCTAATACAAAGGCTTGGAGGGGTTCCTTGTAACCCTGTTCAGCCCCCAGATCCACCAAGGAAGCTTTCTGCTGGCAACAGAAGTAGCCAAGGCTGAAGCTTAGTCATGGCATATACACCAGGTCCTTAACTCCCACGAGACATACAGATCCTTGCCTCCAAGATCTCCCAGGATCTGCACCTGAAATTCTAGAAACGAACACAAAGAGCCCTCTGACACGGCTGACACGGGCAGGCTGTGAGACAGGGTGTCTCTGGAAAACCACTTCCCCCCCTTCCCCAGGAAGGCTCAGGCTCCTGGGGAAAAAGACCCGGATCTCAGTTCCCAGCCCCTGCCAGCCACAAAGGCCAGAGCAGCGCATGTGACAGCGGTGCTGCAACCCCGCAGCGGTGTCCTTCACCAATGCAAAGCCACATCCATCAGAACACATTAATGCCATTGCGCAACGGGCAGCAGCGAAGGGCCCGCAGGCTCTTTTGGTAGTGACAGGAGCCTCAGTCAGAGGGGAGGCGATTCAATAGGGAAGAAGAGCTGCGCCACGCTAGCCTCAGTGCTCGGGGACAGCCGGGGCAGGTAGCACTCACTCCGCAGTCGGTGTCTCTATCACGATATCCCGCACGAACAGTGGGCACCAGACATCCTCCCCGCCGGGAACTTGCCTGCAGCCCCGCACCCCAATCCTGCTGAATCCGCCACAGCGGGAAGAAGGGGCACAGCGGCTGCTGCTCCCACGGCACTGCGCCCCGCGGCCCCACTCACCGGAACGCGCCGTCCTCCGGGGCTCGTCCCGGGCAGTCCGGCAGCAGATCGCAGACGTCGCTGGGGCCGAGACGACCGAGGGGCCGGGCGAGGACGGGCAGCTCGCCCGGCTCCGCTCGGGGGGTCAGGCCCGCCCATCCGCCGGCGAGGAACTCGCTGGACACGGCCTTGGGCAGCGTGGGGGCGCGGGGCACCGCGGGGCCCGCCCAGGCCGCGATGTGGTCGCTGGACTCCGCTTTGGGCAGCATCTCCCGCCGCTCCGGCGGGGCCGGCGCGGGTAATGTAACCCGGCCGGGCGCTGCCGGGGACGGGGGACTACCCGGGCCGGGGGACAGCAAGGCCGGCAGCGGGAGACCCTCGGGCGGGGTCTGGGCCTGGGGCCGCTCCTCGGTTCCTGCGCGCCGCGAGCAGCCGTGCCCGAAGCCGTGCCCGTCCGGTCGGGAGCTCCTACGGCCGCCCGGGACGCCGCCACCGATGAAAGGCGCCGCCGAAACCCCAACGTCGGGCGGGAGGCGAGCCGCGCTCCCGGGGCCGCGCGGGGGGCCGGGTCGAGACCCTGCGCCGGAGGCCGAGCCCCGGTCGGCGCTGCCGCGCCGGGCCAGGTCCATCGGCGGGAGGAGACCGGAATAGGAACCCCCGTGACCTCCTGTGGCCTGCTCACAACACCCCCAATGCAGCTCAGGATGTCATTCACCTGCTTGGCCCTGAGGAGATGGTGAGCTCATGGGCAGTGAGGGTCAGGGTGTGTGGGGGGGGTGTGTGTGTTGGTATGCACTGTTGGTATGTATGTGTTGGTGTGTGTTGCTGGGGTGTGTGTTGCTGTCGTCAGTATGTGTTGTTTCTGTGTCGGTCAGTGCAATGGTGTTCTGTGTGTATGTGTAGTTGTTTGTGTGTGTTGCTCTGTGTGTGTTGGTGCTGTTGGTATGTATTACTCTGTGAGTGTTGGTGTTCCTGGTCTCTGTGTGTTGCTCTGTGTGTGTGGTGCTGTTGGTCTGTGTGCTGCTGATCTGTGCACAGTTGGTGTGGTGGGTTTCAGTGCTGGCTAAATGCCAGGGCACTTATTAGAATGTACTTATTAATTTCCTGCTGTGACATAGGATTAGGAGGAAGGCAAAGTAGGCTTAAACGTGAAAAGGGCATAAAGAAAAGTTTATTAATAGTAACTAAAAGAAAGAATAATAAGAATTATAATAAAGTTTTTAGAACACTTCTCCCCCCATAACCTTTTCTTTCTCTCTAACAATGTACAGAAACAATGCAGTCGGTTTATTACTTTTAGAATAGCCTTTCTTCAGTTCACTTAGGGAGAAAAGTCTCTCTTGTTAATTTATGAAGACTGCTCTATAAGAAAACAGTTCTCTCCTGGCTTTGAATTTCTATGAATAGTAGCCACCAGGAAAATCTGCAATTGTGAAGTCCTTCCCATTTTTCACAGCTTTTCTCACAGCTGTATTTATGGACCATGTCAATTTATGGGGTACCGTTTTAAAGATGAACTGTTTAAGAGCAAAGGTTCTCTTTATCTATCTTTAAAATCATCATTTCTGGGAATAGAGGTCTTCTTTTCTCCCTGGGGGCACAGGGTCTTCATCACTCTTTTCTCTCTCTATATATAAACTTCTTAGGGGATCACAGCTACTTTAACATCTGCTTACTTTAGCACAGAGGCCTTTGCTAGATATCTACCATTTGAACGATTCATCTCCCCATACTTTTCAATGCATTACAAAGAAAAAGAGCCTGATATATCAATTATATTCTTCTCCATATCTTTATAAGAGGATTTTCAGCCTAAAACTAAAGGCATCTCTTCATCCCTCCCATCTGGGTCTTGACTTCTTCTTCACTGTCTTCATTCACAGTGTCTTCATGCTGTTCTGCTATGTGTTTCCACTTTGTCCTTTTCCCTCACTCAAGGGAGGATTGAAGCACTGAAAGAGTTAATATCTCACCCAGGGCCTGCAGATGGTTATCTGACCATGGCCAGGCTCTGTAGCTTGCAGCCAGAGCTGGGCTGGGGGTGAAAGCAGTTAGGATCTCAGCAGCCAGGCCAGAACACAGCAGCAGCACACCGGGGGCTGATGGCTTCTCCTCCCCCTGCCCGGTGGGTGCAGGTGAACAGCAAGAGCAGCAGAATCTTGGCCGAGCCAGCCCAGCCCCGGCTGCTCCTGGGGCCCAGCGGACCCAGCTCGGCCTGGGCTGGTGGCAGGGCAGGGCTTTGTAGCAGCAAGATGTTAGCAGCCGCAGCCATGGCCCGGCCCGGCCTCGGCCCCGCGGCCTCCCCTGCCCTGCCCGGCAGCCGATGGGGCCCGGGGGGCTCCCTGGGAAGGGGCCCGGCCCCACGGCAGGGGCTGCCCGGCCCGGCCTGCCTGAGACGGGTCTGGCCTGGCCTCATTACTGCTTTGGCGACCAGAAGGGAAAAAGATCCTCCCGAACTATTATGTCTTTAATACGTATCTTCACAGAGGCGTGTCGTTTCCTGTTGCGGTTGGATTTTTTTTTGGGGGGGGGCACCCCGGGGTGTCCCCGGAGGGCCCCCTAGGCTGTGAGTTGGCTGGCAGCAGCAGGCAGGCAAGGAGACTCCACACGGCTTCTGAGGGTGCTGTTTAGATGAGAGTTTATTGGGGGTCCCATCCCCAGGAACAGCATGGTTACTGAGGGGGAAGGGGAAGGAGGGGGAGCCTAGGGGAGGGAAGGGGCAAGAGAGGGGAAAGGCTAAGAGAGGGGGGAAAGGCTGAGAGGGCGACTGATTTCGATGGCACGGTTTAAGAGGGAGATTGAAGTGGGCGCGGAATCAGACTTGGGCCAATGGGATTACAGATACATGGTAGTTCAGGGCAGGACCACAGGCTTAGAATATACCATACATTTTGGAGGGGTGAGACAGAGCATACAATTTAAATAAAATGCAATACTGCAGTTTCCTTAGTAGTTTAACAAATTTTAAATTCTCAAAACTAATGACTGATTGATCTTTTTGTCAGACACAGGGGAAACTGCTAGCAACCTCTTTTAGAAAGTCACTTCCTTGACTGCTTCCAATATAAAACCATGACAGTTGGTCAGTGTGTTCCTGTGTGTGGTGCTGTTGGTAGTGCTGTTGGTCTGTGTGGTGTGGACCTGTGCACGGCTGCAGTGTGTTGTGCGCGTTGTGGTGTTGGTGGTGCTGTTGGTCTCTGTGTTGTCAGTCTATGCATGGTTGGTGTGTGTTGCTGTGTGTGTGATTCTGTGGATGGCTGTGTGTACTGCTGTGTGTGTGTTGTTGTGTGTTGCTATGTGTGTTGCTGTGTGTGTATTCCTGTGTGTGTTGCTTTCAGTGTGTGCATGGTTACTGTGTTTTGGTGTGTGTTTTGGTGTGTATATGTTGCTGTGTGTATGTTGCTGTGTATGTGTTGCTGTGAGTAGCTGTGTGTGTTGCTCTGTGTTGCTGTTGGTCTGTGCTCGGTTGCTGTGTGTTGCTCGATGTCTTGCCCTGTGTCTGTTGCTGTGTGTGCTGTTGTTTGCATGTTGCTGTGTGTTGCCATGTGGTGCTGTGTGTTAATCTGTGTGTGTTGTGGGGTGTGCATTGCTGTGTGTTGCTGTGTGTAGCTGAGTATATTGCTGTGTGTTGCAGTTTGTGTGTTTCTGTGTGTGTTGCTGTATGTTGCTGTGTGTGCATTGCTCTGTGTGTGTTGCTATGTGTGCTGCTGCGTGTGTTGCTGTTTGTGTGTCGCTCTGTGTGTGTTGCTCTGTGTGTGTTGCTGTTGGTTGCCGTGTGGTGCTGTGTTAATCTGTGTGTTGCAGGGTGTGTGTTGCTGTGTGTATTGCTGTGTGTGTGTTGCTGGGTGTGTTGCTGGGTGTGTGTTGGTGTGTGTGTGTTGCTGTGTGATGCTGTCTGTCTTTGCCTGATTGTTATGTGTTCCTCTGTGTTACTGTGTGTGTGTTGCTATGTGTTGCTGTCCATGTGTGCATGGTTGCTGTGTTTTGATGTGTATTGCTGTGTGTGTTTCTGTGTGTTGCTGTGTATCGCTGTGTGTGTTGCTGTGTGTGCATTGCTGTGTTTTCTGTGTGTGTTGGTATTGTGTGTTGCTGTCTGTTGCAGTGTGTTGCTGTGTGTCCAGCTGTTTGTGTGTGTGTGTGTTCCATGTGTTTTGAGTGTGTTGGTATGTATGTGTTGCTATGTGTGTTGCTGCATGTGTGTGACTCTGTGTGTGGTGCTGTGTGATGCTGTCAGTCTTTGCACAGTTACTGTGTGTTGCTCTGTGTTGCTGTGCGTGTGTTGCTGTCCGTGTCTGCATGGTTGCTGTGTGTTGCTGTGTGTTGCTCTGTGTGTTGCTGTGTATCGCTGTGTGTGTTGGTGTGTGTGTTGGTGTGTGTGTTGGCATGTGTGTGTTGCTGTGTGTTGGTGTGTGTTATGAATAAAAAGTTATCCATTTTTTTTTAAGGTTGCAGAGTTCAAACAGGTTGGACCAATTGCTGTTGAGTTGAAGGTTAGCTTCACGTTGCAGTCACCTATTGTTGAGAGTTTTGCTTCGATTGCCTGTTAATGGTTGGTGATCAGCGCAATTTTCCCCCCTGCTGCTTCCCAGGGAGGGACACCGGACCCTGCAGGTAGCGGGGAGGGGGGGTGACTCAGAGCTGGTATGCAGATGAGAATGCATTTCACCAGATTTTGCAATTTTCCAGGAAAAAAACCCTAAAAACAACGAGCCAACATAGAATTAAGAGACCTAAGTAATGTCTAAAGATGAGGAACTTAATCCAGTATCTGCTAAAATCCTTTTTACTTCTCACCCTAACCTGATGTTAGCTAGAAAGAGGACCTGGAATGTTAGACCGAAAAAGTAGAATTCCCACTACTCCCTGGAGGACAGAAGCCCCAGCTCTGCCTGCAGACCAGCAGACACAGCTGCATCACCCTCCTCCTCCGTGCCACTCCTGGGAGCAGCGGTGGCGCGGGCGACCGTCATTTCTCCCCAGCCTGAGCTGAATTTTTTAAATAAAGGCATTAAAAAGGACAAAATATCTCCTGCCCTGTTTATTTCAGTATGTGTGTTTGTTGCTGTGTGTGTATTGCTGTGTGTTGCTGTGTCTGTTTTGCTCTGTGTCTGTTGCTCTGCGTGTGTCGCTGTGTCTGTTGCTCTGCGTGTGTTGCCGTGTGTGTTGCTGTGTGTTGCTCTGTGTGTGTTGCTCTGTGTGTGTTGCTGTGTGTGTTGCTGTCTGTTGCTGTGTGTGTTGCTGTGTGTTGCTCTGTGTGTTGCTGTGTGTGTGGCTGTGTCTGTTGCTGTGTGTTGCTCTGTGTTTGTTGCTGTCTGTTGCTGTGTGTTGCTCTGTGTTTGTTGCTGTCTGTTGCTGTGTGTTGCTCTGTGTTTGTTGCTGTCTGTTGCTGTGTGTTGCTCTGTGTTTGTTGCTGTCTGTTGCTGTCGGTCTGTGCGCGGTGAGCGCTCGCGGCTCTACGTGCCAGTCACACGGCGCGCAGGGATCTGCGCGCGGTCTATGTTTCCGTTAGCGCGCGCACGTGTCTTGCGCGCGAGTATTCGCGCATGCGCGGCGCCGTGCGCGTGCCCGTGCCGCGCCGGACGTGGCAGCGGCGGGAGCGATGCGGGCCGTGCTGTCGGGGCCGGGGCCGTGGCCGTGGCTGCTGCTGACGGCGGCGCTGGCGGCGGGCGGCGGCTCGGAGCACCCCCGGCTCCGCGAAACCGTGCTGCGGGACCTGGCCCGCGGCAAGGTGGAGGTGAGCGCGGGTGGGGACCGCGGGACGCGCCCGGGGTGAACCAGTGCCCGCCGGGTGCCTGACGGGGCGTTCTCTCCTGCAGACCTGCGGCGGGTGACGGCTGAACCGCCTCAGGGAGGTACGTACTGGGGCCGGGCCGGGAGTCGGGACACTGTCGGGCTTCCCGACACTGAGCCGCGCCCGACCGGCCACTCTCCGCAGGTGAAGGCGTTCGTCACCCAGGACATCCCGTTCTAGTACCTGCCGGCAGCAGCTGCGGTCCCGATGGGATGGGATGGGACAAGATGGGATGAGTGGGGGACGGGATAGGATGGGTGAGGGACAGGATGCAAGGGAATGAAGTATGGGAAGGGATGGGCTGAGGGACAGGATGGGGTTTTGTGAGGAATGAAGGACAGGGTTTGGTGAGGAGTGGAGAATGGGTAGTTGGGGAATGTGATAAAGGATAGGATGGTATTACATGGGAAACAGGATGGGATGGTATGCAATGAAGGATGGGATGGTGGACAGAACAGATGGGATGGAAAGCAATAGGATATGAGAGAAGATGGGCTGGGATGGAGGGTGGTACAGAATAGACAGGAATGGGATGTGACGGAGGACAGAAGGGGATGTGATGAAGGACGGGATGGGATGGGATAAGGGTTGCATGGGCCTGATCAGTGCTGCCCACTCCTTGACACATTGCCCAGCCATAACCTGGAGATGAAACACCTGCCTGGTGCTGACCCTGAGCTTGTGCTCCTCAGCCTCCGGTATGAGGAGCTGGAGGTGAGTGGGCAGTGCGGCACCTGCTGCCACAGGGCCTGGGGTGCTCAGTGCCCCACGGGTGCCAGGCTACAGCCCCTGTCTGGGTGCAGAGAATTCCCCTGAGCGACATGACCCGGGAAGAGATCAACCAGCTGGTGCAGGAGTTGGGCTTCTACCGCAAGGAGACGCCTGATGCCCCTGTGCCAGAGGAGTTCCAGTTTGCCCCTGCCAAGTCTCTGCCAATACTGCTGCCCCCCCAAACACCCGCTGCTGATGGCAAGACCCCACCCAAACGTGACAAGGAAGAACACCCAGACCTCTAGCAAGGAGTGCCACCCTTAGGACAGGGTCCTGCAGCCAGTCCCCAGTGCAGGGAATGAGGGCGTTATGGCAGCTGGACATGGTATCACAGGGTGGCAAAGGTTTTTCCCCCCACTCTTGCTTGTGTGCTGGTTGATGCCCTCCTGCCCTTGGAGCCCATTATCCTTGGCCAGTCAGGAGGAGCAGCAGCATTTCTTGCAGTCTCTTGCTGTGCCCAGACGTTTAGCTGCTCCCAGCACTGGGCAGCAGTATCCTGCCTGCATGGGATAGAATGAAACCCTCAGCAGAAAGCGCCAGGTGCTAAGGGTAGATGTGCTGAGTCCCAAAGGTGGGAGAGCTGTCCCAGGAAGGGGGCTTTACCCCCCAGCAGGGTTTATGTCATATCCAGCTCCTAGTAAAGCTTTTATTTGCAGTCATTTGTACTGTGTCATCTTTTCAGAGGGAGCTCGGTGGTGTGCATCCCAAACTGCTCTGTTCCAAGGATAGCTGGGTGCCCCACAGCTTCTCACAGAGGTAGGAGAGGATGGCACAGTCATAGTCACTGCTGGTGAGCCACATACCAACCTACAGACCAACTGTGCTGTTCCTGTGCCACCCCTCCCCAGCACGATAGAGGGGTGAGGGTGGTGGGCACCATGGCATGGGATGAGCTGTTCTTACAGGGTGCAGGGGGATGGACATGAGCCCATGAGTGAATCCTGCAGTGTTGAACCAAAGCCCCATGGCTGCACTGGCCCAGTGGGGACATCTGGCCCTCAGCTGGGGAAGGCAGTGGGGCTGCACTTGACCATTGTCTTGCTGGCCATGTTGGATCTTTTCCCTGTGCCAAGCCTGGCGCAACAGGGGGCAGTGAACCCTGGTCAGGGTGACTCAGCTATGGACATCATCAATGAGGTGAGGAGCAGTACATGCCCCAGCGTCCCTCTGGGCTGGGTGAGCAGTTGAGTTGCAGGTAGAGGAGCCTGCAGCAGCTGGACTGCCAGCGTTCCCCAAGCATTGTGGTGTGCAATATGCCACCGGCAGAAGGACCTAAGCTAGAGCCATTGCCCTAAATAAACCTTTATTATCTGGCTGGTGTTGGTACACATGTCAGCGCGGTGTAGAGATGTGACAGAGGGGCGAGCAGCGCTGAGCACATGGGTGGCCTGAGCTGGAGTGGGGGTGGTTGTCCCAGCTTGCTCCATTCACCTTGCACTGCCCTGGGACCCCTTGCTGCTACCCCCTCCCCAGCCCACAGGTGCCCCTAATGTGGAAGTGCCTCAGGTGCACGTGGAGGTGGGAAGCAGGGAGTTGGCATGGTTGTGGAGCTGTCCCCAGGGAGGTGACACCAGGCAGGGCCTGCAGTGGGCAGAGAGGCTTCCTTGCAGGGGGCCAAGGGAACCACTGACAGGTGCTGCCTGCAGGGTGTACCACGATCCTGGCTGAACTGCACAGCCCTGCTCAGCCACAGACCCATGAGGTGGCCTGAGTCTGAGGGCACAGCTGTACTCACGCCACCCCAGGGACACAGGGATGGTACCTGCAGGGCAAATAATTCCTGGAGAACAAATAACTTAAAAAAGGCTGGAGCATAGGGAGCAAGCCAAGGTGGGAGCATCCCCGCAGCGCCCACCTGGCTCTGCCCACAGGGTCAGCCCACAGCTGGCCGAGGCAGAAGCAGCTCTGCCAAGGCAGAGGTATGGGGGTGCCCTGGTGGAAGAATTCTGTCCCCAGTGCCAGACCCCTGGCCCCCCAGACCCTCCCAGGCAAGCAGCTCCCTTGCCCGCAGGCAGCTCTGGGGTGAGGGCAGCAGTGGGGCTGGAAAGGGCAGGCTCTAGCACTCTTTCTGCCGCATGCGCAACTCGTGGCGACGCAGGTGGTTATAGAGGGACTGCACGTAGGTGAAGACGCACTTGGCGTCAGGCTTCTTCCCCATGATCATCATGTCTTCAACCTCCACCAGCGGCACGCAGTCCACCAGCGTCCTGCAGAGATGAAGCCTTCAGCATGGCCTCAAGCAGGCTGCCCCATGTGGGGGCTGGGATGGGCACCCCACACTGCCCAGGGCCTGCTGGTGTGGGCACTGCTGCCCTCAGACCTGCTGAGCTCCTTTCACACACTCCCACCCCACCCTGGTACCCACAGTTCTGCTCCAGACACTGGGAAAAGCACGTGCTATCTGCCCTGGAAGGTGCCTGCCCCAGGGCAGGGGTTGCCCAATTGTTTGCACTCCTGGCTCCCCAGATGCTCTCCATCCCACTTCTTGGTGCTGGCAGTCATCCCCTGCTAAAGTCGTGCCCACCCTCCTCCTCTTGCTCCTCCAGCTGATGCTGATGTCCTCTAGGGAGAGCCCAGCCTGGCTGCAGGTGTCTGCTGTGCCCTTGCTCAAACCCTACCAAGTGGTTCAGGGAAAGCAGGGGGTGGATCTTGGTTATGGGCTGCCCCTCACTCCTGCCTCAATCCCTGACCCTGCTCTTTTGCCTTCCCCTAAGCCCTGCCAACCTGGCTCCCTCCCTTGCCCTGGATTGGAACCCAGGGGCTACGTGCACCAAGCCCAGCACACCCTAGTGCTGGAGTGGGTGCTGCCCTGCTTCAGCTCACTCACCCTGGCCTATCTCCTCCTCTCCCTGCTCCACCACAGTGCAGGGGTCCATGCAGGACCTGGCTCCAGGAGCCACCAGTCTTGTGGTGCCCTGGCAGATCAGCTGTGGTTGTGTCCCCATCCCCATAGTAGCCTTGGGGCTCTGCCGCTGCCCTTTTTTAGGGGTGGCTCACTCTGCTTTGCCACCCATCCAGTTCCCTGGGCTAGATCTCTGCCCAAGTTGGGGCTCCCTGCGCACTTGAAGGGACTGACAACACAATTAGGAGTCAGGATGGCAACCAGAAAGGCATGGAGGGGATCTGGCCACCTCTTGTCCCCTCCTTTCTCCAGGGAGAGAAGGGGTGGGGGGCACAGTAGCAACCCTACCACTGCTGCCAACCCTCCTGGCCCTGCCCAGGCCCCACACCCCTACCAGGCACTGCTTCCCCTTCAGGCTGCTGCTGAAGCAAGGGCTGCACTGGCACTGGGGGCAGTGCTGACACAAACTGGCAGCGCCTGCTGCTGCCACGGCCAGTTCAGCTGCTTTGGCCAGGGCTGCTCAAGGTTCTGCCCCAAGGCTCTGGGTGCAAAAGGAGGATCTCCCAAGGCAGGGCTCTGCCCCCAAAGACAGGGTGCACAAGGAGGGTCTGAATCCTATGCTTGCCACCCACCACAACACCACCCTCAACCCCCAAGCCTTGTACCTCCCCTCTACCCTCCTGCAGTAGCCCCACTGCAAGCGTTGGCCCCCTTGAAGAGCTCCACCCCAAGGAGTGACCCCAGCCAGTGCCAGCCCCTGGGGAGCACCAGGGCCCAGGAGAGGCCCCCACCCGGTGTCCCATGGCCCCAGACACTGCATTAGGTCTCTGCTGCCTGCTCAGTGGGCTCCAAGCCCACAGCCTGGCTGGCACCAGCCCCACCTCATGATTTGGCCACTGTGAGGATGGGGGGGGATGATGCTTGGGGCCTTGGGAAAGCCCTTGCCACTGCCAGCCTGGCTCAGGGGGTAGTGGTGGAGCAATGACAGTGCACTGAAGAGTGACTCTGCCCTTATAAAGCCATTGTTTGGGCCCTGGTGTGCCAGCTCTGTGCAGAGCCAGGGGAGCCACAGCTCTAGCGCCGGCCAGGATGCCCTGACACAAACACTGCAGGACCTGAGCCTTGAGTCACACTTTCCAGGCTCCTGCTTCTGCCCATATATGAGCAGGCAGCCTCTTGGAGCTGGGCATGCACCCTGGGGCAGGGGAATGAGGCAGCAAGTGGAAGCAGTGATGCTGCAGTATCCTGAGGGGCCACCCACACTCAGCATCATTCAGAACACCTTGAGTGGCATCCCCAGCAGCTGACCCCTGGGTCAGGCTCAGCCATGGGGACACGGCTCTGTTCTAACTACTGCCCTCCCCACAGCTGGAGAGCAAACAGCACTCCAGGGTGAAACAGTCCCCCCTGCCCAAACCCCCACAGGTGCTATTCCAGAAGGCTGGAGCCCAGCCAGCTGTCTCTGTCAATCTCCTGCTGGGCCTTGTCTGGCACCGCCAGGACTTGCCCCTCACCCATCAGCATCCCCCAGCCTCATCCACAGCCGAGTCAGTCAGATCCCTGCCAAGCCCTGGTGGTGGTGGGCACATGGGCAGGTACTTGGAGGGGAAGGTTCTCACCATCAGTCCTGGGGGGGCTGACAATGGGCTACGACTTTTTGGTTTTTACCAGCCCCTTCTGGACCAGGCAGCGATAGAATTCCTGAATGTATGTGTACACACACTTCCAATCTGGCTCGCGCATCCGGACCATGTCCTCCACGTCCAGCAACTGCGGACAGTCCGCGTGCTTCCTGGGTGCAGGGAGAGAGAGGGGCAAGCCAGTGACCGCAGCCCAGTCAGGGAGGGGAGGAAGAGAAAACAAGAGACACAGATCAGTGCAGTTCTCATCCCACTGGCAGCTGCTCCGCTCTGGCATGCTCCGGGGATGCATGATGCAGGGGCAGGAGGGCTCCAGGCACCCCATGCCAAGGCCATTCAGTGATACTGGGGGGGCACAAGCAAGGGGGAGAGGGGCAGGTGAGTGGCGTGGAGAGGCGTGAAGTCCAGAGGGAAAGACAGACGAAGAGGAGGAGGAGGAGTAGGAGGACGAGTGAGGTGTTCTGGTGCGCCAGGTGCTCGGGGTGCGGGTTCCAGAGTGGAGCGGCGCTCTATACAGCTCCTATATAGAACCGCCGGGAGGACGGCGGGGGCAAGCCCAGCCCTCCTGCCCAGCTCCACTTGGAACCGCGCGGCACAGCCCTGGTGCAGGAAGCTCGGGAAAGGACGCTCACAAGAGCTGGAGGAGGAAGGACGAGAGGCCACCTGGCTTCCAGGCCGGAGAGATCGATGGCTCTCTCAAGTCCACGCACCAGTTTCCCAATTAAGGCAAAAAATCCATTAACAGGAGCACCAAGAGCCAGGCCCACAGCCCCCTTCTCGCTCCACCAAACAGCGCCACGGCACCCTGGGAGCTTATGGGAGTCCCCATCTCACCCTGCCACCTTGAACATCAGCAGGATGGGACCCCCACCCCCAGCCCTGCCCCCTGGCAGAGTGCTGGAGGAGAAGAGTGGGTGGGTGGGAGAGAGACAGAAGGAAGGAGAGAGGGGCTGACTGCCAGCCCTCCAGCTGGGTGCACTCCCATCTCTCAGCACCCAGGAAAACCAGAAGCAAAAGGAGAAAGGAAGAGACTGGAGAAGGTGCAATGGTGTTTGAGCCCCTACAACTGTGAAAGGAGGAACCTGGCATAGGCCAACCCTGCTCCCCCCCCAGGCTGCAGTCCCACACCTGGTACCCCAGGATGGAAAGAACTGCCTGAAGCCAGGTGGGCTCATGGGGCTGCTGCTCTGTCTTTGGGTGCTCTGCCCCAAGGAAACCAGACCCCCATACCCACCCTTCCCACACCAGACTGGGCTGCACTGGCCTCTTGTGACTCTGCCCATACCAGCTGCTGTTTGCCCCCACAGCACCTAACCTTGTTGCATTGCATGGGGGGAGTGACACCTCCAGGCACCCACCTCCAGCACCATCAACTCCATGTGTCCCCCCTCGCCCCAGCAGCGAGCAGGAGAGCCACCCCAAGCTGCTCCAAGCCATCCCAAGTTCATATGATGGCAAGAGAGGTACGTACTCTGCAGAAGAGAAGGCCACCTCGAAGTTTTGGCGGCGGTTCTGGGGTGTCAGCTTACTGTAGTCAAATGCATCAGGGAAGAAATTGTGGACCAAGGCACAGAAGGCCATGCCATCACTCCAGCTGGATGAGAAGTTCTGGATGTCCACATGCTGAGAGAGCAACAAAGTTACCAAGGGACAGAGTGATTGGTCTTGGGACAGGAAGAGGAGGTGGCACCCACCTCATAGCCGCGGGTCTTGGCTCTGCACCAGTCCAGCAACATCTGCTTGATACTGTTGGCGTTAGGCACGCCAAAGCTGGAGGAGCGCTGCACGGCGGTCTGTGATGCTGCAGGGTTTGAACTGTGGCAGGAGACATGGGGTATTATCCATAGCGGCAGTTGTTATTTGTCAGCAGTTACTGCCCTGGCCAGCGTGCCCCAGGCCCAGCCTCACCTCCCACCCTCCTTCTGCAGCTTCTCCATCATGGCCTTGCGTGCCTGTGAGGCTGATGTCTTGGGCAGGCTCTGAGCCTTCATCAGTTCCTTCTTCTTCTCCGCCTGACGCCGCTCCAATGCGGCCAGGCTGCTCTGCCGAGAAGCACTCTCATCTTCACGGTCAAAAATGCTGGGAGAGAGACAGGCAATGCTAAAGGGGCTGTGGCAGCCCAGAGGAGGGCAAGCAGTGGTCTCAGCCCATGGCCAGCCCTGGAACTCTGGAGACCTCCATGTCCCTGGGATAGAAGAGAGGTGGTTTAAGGTCCCCAGCTGGCAGACCTGTCTCTGTGCCCAAGGAAGGACCCAGGAGAACCTCTGAACACAGTGGATGTACCCCAAGGACCAGAAGGCTTTGCAGTCACATTTGCATGGGGACACTGCAAGCTGGGTGGAGGGTTTGTGCAAGCAGGTAAGTGACAGGGACCACGTGGAGCTGTCTCCACAGGCACCTCTGCTCACCTGCCTGTCTTTTTGGATGAGGAGCTGTAGGATGATTTGGTTTGAACAAAAGTGCTGTTGCCATCTGCAGAGAGAAAGGAAGGAAAGAGGCCCCGGGCAGGAGCTGAGGGCAGCTGTGCCGGGAAGGCAGGACTCTGCCTGCATCAGGGCATTGACAGCTCAGCAGCAGCAATGCCCCAGGTTTACACCCTGAGGATGCTATGGGGAAAGGGCAGGAAAAACTCTTACTGTCTGATCTCTTCACATAACTTGACTCCATGGTTGTAGTACGGGAGGTCTTGGTGCCATCACCTGCAGGAACAAAGCAACGGGAACTGCTGGGCTGGGAGGAACAGCACCCACAGACACCTGCTGCTGCCAAGCATTCACACCCACTCACTGCAACAGGGAGAAGTCCCAGGTGGTAGAGCCATGGGTGTGGCAGGCAGAGGGAGGACAGAGGGCATGTGCCCCCCAGGCAGAGAACAAAGAAGCAAGTGCGAAGCAGCAGGGAGCTGGGGCATCCCTCAGTCCCTGCAGCCACTCAGCTTGAGCCATCCAGGGACTGGGAGAGCAGGGATACAGGAGACAAGACACAGGCCAAAGATGTAGATGAGGCCCTGCCATCCTTCCAGGGTTGGGGATTCAGAGGGAGGCCACCAGAATAAAACCCTTAATTATCCCCAAGCAGGCTCAGGGCAAGCCAGAGACTCAGCTCTGAAACACTGTCCTGCTCCCAGGACAGTCTAGCCAGACTCAGGACAGACAGTGAATGGCAAAGGAGCTGTGGTGGCGGAGCACTGGGAAGGATTCTGCAAGGCCCCCAAAGGGTGGGCACACCCCTCCCGGCCCAGCCCATACTAGACTGGACGAGACGCTCAGTCTTGGTGACGGTGCTGCACGCCGAGCCATCGGCTGACTGAGTGCTCTGCGTGGTGGTGGTCTCTGTGGCATGGCCAGCTCTTCCTGTCACAGATTGGCTCCTAGCCTCCTGCAGCCGCTGGTCCCGCTCCTTCTCCCGCTGGTCTGCAAACACGAGAGGGAGATGGCATCAGCAGGGAAGTGGGGTGGTGGGCATGGTTCCTGCCACACCAGGAGTCCTGCAGCTGCTGCTGGCCCACAACTGGTTTGTGGGAAGGATGACGTCCTTGGCGTCGCAAAGTCAAGGGGGCAACAGGGGAACCAGCACGCACTCTCCTGCTGCTTCCCCGTGGCTGGACAGCCACACTTCAGCGCCCCATACTGCCACCACCACCACTCTGACCCCAACAGGATCACCATCCCCAAGTACCTCGCTTGCGCTGGCGCAGCTCCCGCATGGCATTTCGAATCAGCCGTCGTTCCTCAAAGTCTGTTGTCCGATCCAACTACAGGAGGGGGAAGTCATCATTAGTCTTCTGCCATCAGCTTGAGGTCCCTTTACCTTCTTAAAAGGAGCCCAAACCAGAGGAAGAAGTACCATCTTATCCAGAACATCCTCATCCTCAATCTTGCTCAGCTCCTCGACATTCAGCTTGCTCCTTCTCTCCACCTCCTTCACTTGCACCTTCTCCACGCCGTTGGGCAGCTCTGGTTCTCGCCTCGGTGCCTGCTGCTGCTCCACCACCTCTGGCTCCATCTGCAAGGACATCACCATGCAGCTGAGCCCCCTGCCAGCTTGGCCACACCCCCACCTCTTCTCAGGGTGCAGTCCCTCCCTGACACCTGCCCAGTGCGACAGGCAGTGAGAACCCTAGAGAGGATGTGCCACACGGGGCCTAAGTGCTCTCAGCTGGTGGGTGCTGCAAGCATCTGCACTGCCCAAGGCAGGCAGGGGGACAGGACAATCTGCAGCAACCCATGCCCCAGGAAGGCCCAGCAGTCCCTCTCTTCCTTCCAGTCTGGCTGCCACAATATCTCCAAATCCTTCCTGCTCCCTGGCAGGAGGTGGCTGGGTCCCCCAGAAGGCAGGAGTTGCCCATGGCTCTGGGCTGGGCAGTGGCTGTTACCCAGCAGTGGGCAAGGTGCTGGCAAGGCCAGTGCACACCATTAGCAGCACAGGGATTTCCATGGAATTAAGCGACTTAGTGTAGAGAAGAGCTTGTGCAGGAGATCAAGAGCCTTCCTCTGCATCCCTGCCAAGATCTAGGCCCATTCGGCCTCTGCCCAAGCATAGCCAGGACGCCAAGTCCCTTTCAGCACAACCCCCCAGCAATGCACAGCAGGCAGTGGGCCAGGCCCAGAATAGGGCACAGGGCACCAGAGATGACAGAGTGGGGCCAGAGCAGCCAGGCACACACCTGGCCCCATCCTGCATCCTGTGACCTGGTAAACTGATCCACGGCAAAGCCATCAGCCGGAGTTGACACTGGCCACATGTGCCCATGCCACCACCTGTGCCTGGTGCTGTGGTGGGGGCAAGACTGCCGCCTGTGGCCTCCCACCTGGCACACTGGGAATGCGAAACAGGTGGGTGCACAGTGAGGCCAAGGAGTGGCAGATCCCCATGGTGCCGTGTCCCCGTGCACCGCGGCCACAGTCACGCCTTGTGCCAGGGCTACAGATACCCCCAAGAGCCCTGGGGGCTGGTAACCACCTCCCTTCCCCCTGTCATGGGGCAGAGCTGCCCACACTCACGCTGCTGTTGCTTCGGGAGAGATGCAGGGTCGATTGCTGGCGCGTACTGGAGAAAGTGGGTGGATGGGCCACAGGGCCACTGGGCTCCTCAGTGCCCTCAAAGTGAGCGCAAGGGTCCTGTGCTTCCAGAAAGAGGGTGCTGATGTCCTCCCCGGGGGGCACCTGCAGCCCTGGTGCCAGCAGATCAAGGCGGCGGCCCAGGCGCCCCAGCTCTGCCCGCAACTCCAGGTGCTCCTGTTCCAACGTCTGCAGTGCCTGTGCCAGTGCCTGCACTCGCTCCAGAGCCCGCTCCAGTTGCCCCTCTGCTGCCCCCCGGAATGCCACCAGCTCCTGCCGCAGCTCTGCCAGCTCAGCCACCCCAGCCTGCGCCAGCCCCTCCAAGCTGAGCCCCGGCATGGTGGCGGTGCAGGCGCTGCGCTGAGCCCCGCTCAGCTGTCCTGCTGCCCTTTATAGGGGCCCAGGCACCCCCCCAGCTGGAGGCTGGCCCACTCCCTGCCTGTGGGCTATTCTGGTCCCAGCAGCCGGGGGTCCCGTGCAGGGGTGCTGAGCCAGGCGCCACACTTGGCAGCACATCCGGCTGTGGGACCAGGTGGCTTAGCAAGGGGAGCCCTGCAAGTGGCCCCCCCGCCCCTGGAGGCTTCCAGGCCCAAATATCAGCCTCAGCGCTGTGGGAAAAGTGGTGGGGACCAGCCCTGACCACGGCAGTGCTGGGTGAATGAAAAAACCAACCACTGCTGTGTTCTTCTGTCCAAGCGCCTTCCCACTCTGGGCCAGCATCGCCCACAGCACATCTCCGGCCCCAGGCTGGCATTGGTGCAAGGGCCTTGGTCACAGCATGGATTTTAGGTCTTCACACCCCCGTGCTCCCCAGTGCCTGCCCCACGGGGAGCAGGTCCCTGCACAGGTACGGGCAGTACCCCACCAACGAGAAGACATGCCACCATGGCTACTGCCCCCAGGTCCCTACAGCCTGCTGGTCCTCCAACCAAGCCCTACATGGCAGGGCTGCCAACACCACTGCCTCATCCTCCTCCTCCTCCTCCTCACTGCCCACTGGGAGCATACCTGGAGGCTGCATCTCCTGCCAGGCAGCTGATGGGTCTCAGGCCCCCACCTCACCAGACAGACCCACTAATACCTTAATGAGAGCTGACAAGTGCTCGGGCCAAGCATGCCCAAGCGCATTAGCACAGGGAAGTCATCCCACTGCAGCCAGCTGCCCACAGGCAGGACCTGCTGGCAGGTGTGGGCAGCACCTGTGGGCACTGCCTGCCTCATGGTGGCAAGGGCTGGGCTGAGGATGGGGTGAAGCCAGTGGTACCACAGCCACCAGTATGCCCCAGGTCACGGGTGGTACCACAGACACTGGCAGTGACACAGGCCACCCACAGCGCTGTTCCTGCAGAGGCAGCCAGGCGCGCGCAGGGCCATGAGTGAAACAGAGCCACGTTTGACATCCTGGCTCCTGCCAAGGCGGCACACGGACGCCTTGCATTACCCTAGATGGGCAGGAGCAGATTAAAGCACTTGAAGGGCTGTCTCCTGTGTGCACCCAGCCCCAGGATGGCCACAGCCTGCTCTCCCCGCAAAGACGCTGCAGAGGGGTTGTTTTTTGTTTTTTTTTTTTCTCCAGTTGCACCCAAGAATCCCTCCTTGACAGGCTGCGGCTTTGGGAACTCTCCACTCAGGATGGCACAGCAGAAACATGAAAGACCCCAACCCACAGCTCCAGGGTGCTTTAGAGACCTTTGAGGAGTAGCCCCCCTCCAAGGCAGGCTCCCCAGACACAAGACCAAGGTCCATCCCCACGAGGAAAAACAGAGGGGTGGTTGGCAATGGATTTTTCCCTGAGCTGCTGCTACCCTTAAAGGTGTTTAAAACAAAGCAAGACACACAAAAGATTCCTTGTCCCCCTCTGCCCACCTCCCCAAGAGTCTGAGTACACGGTGGCACAGTCCAGAGTGCAGGGGCTCATTTGGGGGTGTGCAACCACACACAAAGTCCAGGGTCTCTTGATGAAAAAAACCCTATCAAAACAAAAGCACCAACCAAAACCAGACAGAACCTCTGGAGCATGCTGCCTACACTAACTCCTTGGTCACTGGTCCCCATCCCAAGCCCTGGAGCTGCCAGGCAATGACCAGGTGGGGCACAGCCCTACAGACCCCCGGGCACTCACCTTGGTGACATTGCTGCTGACACTGCTGATGTTGCAGATGCTGCTGACGCTGCTGGGGATGGTGGTGATACGGATGGGGGTGCTCCGCAGATCCAGAGTCACCTCTGCAAGGGGAGCAAGAGGCATGTGGGGTCTGATCCAGCTCACAGGCTCAACCCCACAGCTGGGGAGTGGCTCTGGCTGGACTATCTGCCTGCCCCACACATCCTGCCCAGGCAGTGAGCACTGAGCTCTGGCACAGGGAAAGGGCTTTGGGGGAAAGCAAGAGATGAGGCAATCAAGACCATTCTCTGCCCTGACTTAGCATCCTCCCTGAGGAAGGGCGTTTTCTGCAGTGTTTCAGCTGGAGCCAAGACCCCCTGGTGAGAGGGATGGCCACAGGAGGCATCCTGAGCCAGCCACAACTGCGGGCAAGCAGGGTTGGGGCAGGGCTGGAACAGACACGGTGCAGCAGTGGGATGGAAGAGAGCAGGATGGCGTGGGCTCCCCTGAACCAGCAGGTCGGTGGGGAGAGGATGGGGCAGGGCTGCAGGGGCAGGGCAGGGATTGGGGAATGACCCCAAACATAAACACGGTAAGACGGTGGGGCTGGGGACAGGCTGCAGGGCCAGATCGTCTCCCCGCACTGAGATGCTCCAAGCACGATGAGAGTGCATGCCAAAGGATGAGGGCTATGAGGCATGCTTTGTTCTTCTGGCAGCACTCAAATGCCCCTGCTGCCAATCAGCACCCACCTGGCCTGGCTCAGCCTGCCCGCCTCCACCTGCCCATTTGTGCCCACCAAATGTCAGTGCCCGATGGCCCACTGGCACCCACCTGCTCCACTGCCCAGCTGTGCACACTGTCATATTAGGAGCACAGTCCTGCAGTGCTTACAGCCCGGTGGATGTCCATTTCCCTGCGGTGCCCACCTTCCTGAGAGATCCGCACCTTTTCCGTCCCACCTCCCTGCATGACACCCATGCCCATCACCCCTACAGTGTCAAGCCTCATGACAGATGCCATCTGCCCGCGGGACCTGTCCTGCACACCCCGTACCCCACCAGTGCCCACCTGCCCGCTGGCTGCCGGGGGCGGCCGTGATGCGGGGCGCCAGGGGCTGCACGCGCCCATCCTTGATCTCGATGGTGAAGAAGGTCTTCATGGCGTCGAGGCGGCAGCCGGCGGGGCGCGGGGCCGGGCGCTGATCTGCGCCGCCGCTGCCCCGCGCGTTTTGAGCGGGCGCCGGC